ATGAGGGATAAGCAGGACCAAGGACTGCGGGCGGTGAGGCTCGACACCTTCCACCTGCGCTTCCTTCGTTACATCCTGCACATCTCCTGGCAAGAAAAAATGCTCAACACAGAGGTCTTATCTCGTGCTGGCCTTCCAATCATGTTCCGAAGGCAACGGTGGCTCCGTTGGCTGAGTCATGTGAGTCGCATGGATGATGGTCATACTCCAAAGGACATCTTACATGAGGGAGAGACCAGCCATGGGTGCTGGAGAGGGACCGGGAAAACTCATGAGCAACGTCGGCTGTGAGTTGGAAGACATATCTGGGGAGCTACTCCTTGAGGAAGCCCGAACGTTCCGAACGATAGAAGGCATGCTCGACATCCCTCCTACTGGCGCGGATACGTTCAAGGAAGACAGAACGTGCATAGTCCGGAAAGGGAGATTCATCCTCTGAATGTTTCAGTACATTAGAGATCGAGGTAGTCTTGGAGGGAGCGAAGTTGGTTCTTCCGTCGGGCCGTAGCGATGACAGAATCCTCGTAAGCACGAAAAGCAGGTACCATGTCAGGGAAGGAGACAAACAGGAACGTGGGGTCCATGAGGATTAAAGAGGATTCCATCAGTCTCCGTACGTGGACCTCAGCGGAAGGGAAGGCAATACACGCCGCTGACCAACCATCTGATGGCCTATATCTATCTATCTATCTATATATGTATCTATATATCTATATCTACACACACACATATGTGTGTGTGTGTGTAATTATATATATATATGACACACACACACACATACACACATACACACACACGCACGCGCACACGCACATACACATACACATGTATATAATATATATATATATATATATATATATATATATATATATATATATATATATATGTATATATATATATATATATATATATATATATATATATATATATATATATATACAGAAATATGTATACATATATACACTTAATACACACATTCACACATGCAATATCGAACACCTTTTCGGAAATCACTTGGGGAATCTTGCTTCGCCGATCGTACAGTAGTATCATCTTGACTCATCTTGAAATCAGTGAATCAGAAGAGGTTTCGTTTCCACCAGACCTGGACACGTGATTCGTTTGATAACAAGTAAATCAAATTATCGAATCTAAGAACAACCCACAAAGGGATTCGTTTGAAGAGAAAACGAAAGAATTTTGCGAGTAATATTCAGTCAGAAATTAATATTCGTCTCGTATATTTTACATGGACATCCAGCACGTGACTCTTACGATATTATGAATAATAATTTAATAACTGCACTGGCTTACTTTACTCATCATAATCACTGGCTTTGTCTTTGGATCAGTATTAAAACAAGTACAATATTGTGTTTATTATCTTTATCATTCTTGTCATTGCTGTTATTGCCATGATCTAGGCCTAATATTAAGGTTATTATTGTGCCATTACTTGTAATATTTATTGGTTGTCATGGTAATTATTGTTATTATCTTTGTTATTATCCTTCACGCTCTTCCTCGTTATCATTATCTTTATGTCATCTTAACTATCCTTTTCTACTTCATCATCATATTATTGTTATTGTTATAATTATCCTTATTACCATTATCCTTATCATTATCTTTATCAGTATATTAGCTATCGTTATCAACATAACTATTATAATTGCTGTCATTTTTATTACTATCACTATTATTATTATGATAATCATTATTACAACTACAATTGTCATTATTATAAATATTATTTTTATGCCCATTGTTATTTTTATCATAATTATTATCATCATAATTATTGTTATCACCGTTATCATTAATATCATTCTCATCATTATTTTCAACATCATTATCATTATCATTTGCATTATTATAATTTCACTATTATTATTATCATTGTTATGATTGTTGTTATCACTATTATTATTAGCATTTTCATTATTACTGTTATTTTCTTTATCACTGTTATTATTATTGTTACTTTAATTGTTGTCTTACTGCTTTATTAATCTATCATTTCCATGATCATCATTGTTTTTTCATATCCAATCTTTGCTTGACATTAACTCCGAAGGCACAAACTCCCATACACACAAACATACACATTTAGAGCATAGTCATACACAATTCATGTTTAGATTTCTGAGTTTATATAAAGGCCATGACGTCATGCATATTCAGGCAAGCACGCACCGACGGACAGAGAGGGGCATGCGCAATCACAAGCAAGAGCGCCGCAAGAGCTTCTTCCCAGAGCTGTTCCTCGTCCTTCGCTCACTCGCGCACACGAAACATTGTGGAAGGCGAGATGGCGGCGTATCCTAGGTCGCCTCCGTGCTCTCTCCTTGGGTCATCTGGGTCAGCCTTGGTCCTGCGAGAGAAAGGTGTCCGAGGCGCTATAAAGACACGCCGGCGCCTCCCTGGGCACAGTGCCACCTCGGGCTTCCGTTCCTCTTGTTCGACGCAACACTGCCGCTCGCGATGTCTGTGCTGCTGCTGGCCTTAGGTAAGGCGGTCCTCGCTGGGCCTCGTCTGGAGAGCGGAGGGGCGCAGGGAAGGGCGCTCCTCATGCGTTTCGTTCTCATGGATCCCTCGTGACTATTTCAGCCTTTTTATTACTTTTTTGTATACATACTAACAGCAAACTATCCCTTTCAGCTCTTCTGGGAGCCGTCCACGCCGACAAGATGTTCAGCCCGCCCGCTCCTCCCGCCCCAGGATACTCGTACGGCGCCCCGGACCTCAGGGCCGACGCCTCCACTCTCGACCAGCAGGACCCCATCGCCGCCCTGGCCGCCAACATCCCCGGCGGAGGCGTCCCTGGCGAGGACTACCCCATCCTGGCCTCCGTCCCCGACACCGGCTTCTCCTGCGAGGAACAGGACTTCCCAGGCTACTATGCTGACACCGCCCCGGAGGCCGGCTGCCAAGTGTTCCACATCTGCCAGTTCGACGGCCGCCAGGACTCCTTCCTGTGCCCCAACGGCACCATCTTCAACCAGCAGTACTTCGTGTGCGACTGGTGGTTCAACGTGGACTGCGCCGCGTCCGTGCAATTCCGAAGCCTCAACGCTGACATCGGCAAGATCCCCGAAGACGCCGCTGCCTCCGTCCGCAATGACGTCGTGGCACCCAACCAGCTCTATGGCACTCCCGAGGAGCGCCAGGCAACTCCTCCAACTCCTTCTCAGTTTTATGGAAGTCCAAACGGGTTCTAGATTACGCTACGAATAAGAAACAGACACCTATTTATGTTTATTTTTTAATCATTTCTGTCTTTACATGCCCCATAGTATGATGTCAGAGCTCTGTAAATAAATGTTTCATCAGCAAAGAGCAGTTTTTTTTCATGTAAATGGACTATCATGTTCCCGCTTACGTTTTATTCGGTAAGAGAAGGAGACTCGAAAAGATTGCAATGCACAAATATACGAAATGACACCATCGTTCTTTTCTAACAGTGGATGATTCTTTTCTGCAATATTTACATATTTTCTATTGTTATGCATATGAACTAGTATCATTCTTGTAAAATACATATGCTGATTCTATAAGCCTCCACTGGCATATGTTATTCTTATTCAATTATTCACAACGAATTTTACAATAACTCTCTAGCCTTGACCCTCCCGATTTGCAATAAGGTAATTTAACAACTTTGCATGTATTAAAGTAGATTAAAGGCCATCATGTATTCGAGAATATTGATTGAATGGTTTGAAAATTCGCAGGATGATATATTTACAACCTCCTAGCTTATTTCTTTTCTATATTTTCCTTTTAATGACAGAAAGTAAAAAAAATAAAAAAAATAAATAAATAAATAAAAAAATAAAAATAAAAGAACCCATTTCTTTGATTGTTTATTTGCTTTTTTTTATTTTAATCTTTAGATAATTTGTTAGCAATCAAGCTGCGCCGATCAGTGCAGCGGCACCAGTGTATCTCTTGCACCCAAGTTAATGCAGATTTCAGGATCATTACATGAACAAACAGATTCTGAGTTATGCAAATCTAGCTCCAAGGTATGTTTCACTCTCGGTTTGTGTGCCTCCAGCGCGCTTGGGAAAACTATGAATTGTGAATACTTTGAATTGTATTAATGTGTTGTGAAAGAAAATAGTCCTTGGGCATACAAAAGAGGGCAATTATTGCATTTGATGTAACAGCACAGATGAGGATTGAGAAGCAAAAAAAAAAAAGAAAAAAAAAGTTGCAGAGAGAGAGGGAGAGAGAGAGAGAGACTGGTAGACAAAGAAAAAAGAGACGGAGCACAGAAAAGAAAACCGAATTTTAAGAAAACCACGGGAACGTATATCTCTACCACCTCATCCCCTTCCTCCCCAAAAGAGTCGTTTGCTGAAAATATTAGCAAATCACCTCATCAAGAGATTCCTAGTCCATATGACAAGGGTGCTTGGGCTGTTGTATTAGACAAGAAAAAAAAAAAAAAAAAATTCTTTAAGGGAAAGGAAAATTTAGAAATATACTTTAAGGATTTTTATAAATACATTAGTACAATTATGCAACTCTTAGACTAGTAAAAAAATTCTTGATCGACTTCCATTCAAGAAAAATCTTTATTTTACTTCTGTTTCTTCTCTTTTCTTCCTAATGTTTTTTTGTCTTTCGCTCTCGGATTCCTCCCCCTCCCCCTTTTACTCTCTCTGCCTGCCTGCCTCTATTTATCTCCATCTCTATGTCAAATGCTATTTCTGTTTCTGTTTCTGTTTCCATTTTCATCTCTCTCTCTCTCTCTCTCTCTCTCTCTCTCTCTCTTTTCCCTGTTTATCTATCTAACCCTCTCTCTTCTCTCGATGCCTCTGTCTACTTGTCTACCTCATATATCATTCGCCCAGTGCTCTGTTATTTCAATAAATATAAAAGTCATTTACCACAAGGTTTTCTAAAGCAACGCAACAGAAAAAAAAAAAAAAAAGAAAAAAAAAGACGGAGAGCAGAAAAGAAAACCGAATTTTAAGAAAACCACGGGGACGTATATCTCTACCACCTCACCCCTTTCCTCCCCAAAAGGGTCGTTTGCTGAAAATATTAGCAAATCACCTCATCAAGAGATTCCTAGTCCATATGACAAGGGTGCTTGGGCTGTTGTATTAGACAAAAAAAAAAAAAAAGGAAAGGAAAATTTAGAAATATACTTTAAGGATTTTTATAAATACATTAGTACAATTATGCAACTCTTAGACTAGTAAAAAAATTCTTGATCGACTTCCATTCAAGAAAAATCTTTATTTTACTTCTGTTTCTTCTCTTTTCTTCCTAATGTTTTTTTGTCTTTCGCTCTCGGATTCCTCCCCCTCCCCCTTTTCCTCCCCAAAAGGGTCGTTTGCTGAAAATATTAGCAAATCACCTCATCAAGAGATTCCTAGTCCATATGACAAGGGTGCTTGGGCTGTTGTATTAGACAAAAAAAAAAAAAAAAAAAAAAAAAAAAAAAAAAAAAAAAAAAAAAAAAAAAAAGAAAAAAAAAGACGGAGAGCAGAAAAGAAAACCGAATTTTAAGAAAACCACGGGGACGTAATATCTCTACCACCTCATCCCCTTCCTCCCCAAAAGAGTCGTTTGCTGAAAATATTAGCAAATCACCTCATCAAGAGATTCCTAGTCCATATGACAAGGGTGCTTGGGCTGTTGTATTAGACAAAAAAAAAAAAAAAAAAAAAAAAAAAAAAAAAAAAAAAAAAAAAAAAAAAAAAAAAAAAAAAAAAAAAAAAAAAAAAAAAAAAAAAAAAAAAAAAAAAAAAAAAAAAAGGAAAGGAAAATTTAGAAATATGTTTTGAGGATTTTTATAAGTACATTAGTACAATTATGTAACTCTTGGACTAGTAAAAAAATTCTTGATCGACTTCCATTCAAGAAAAATCTTTATTTTACTTCTGTTTCTTCTCTTTTCTTCCTAATGTTTTTTTGTCTTTCGCTCTCGGATTCCTCCCCCTCCCCCTTTTACTCTCTCTGCCTGCCTGCCTCTATTTATCTCCATCTCTATGTCAAATGCTATTTCTGTTTCTGTTTCTGTTTCTGTTTCTGTTTCTGTTTCTGTTTCTGTTTCTGTTTCTGTTTCTGTTTCTGTTTCTGTTTCTGTTTCTGTTTCTGTTTCTGTTTCTGTTTCTGTTTCTGTTTCTGTTTCTGTTTCTGTTTCTGTTTCTGTTTCTGTTTCTGTTTCTGTTTCTGTTTCTGTTTCCATTTTCATCTCTCCTCCTCTCCTATCTTCCTTCCTATTTTTATTCTCCTCCCCATCCTCCTTCGTTTTCTCCTTCTCATCAGCTCCCTCTAATTATATTTTTCCGGTCATAGTGGCTATTCATACAGAACAAAAAATCTTACACAGAAAAAAATATATAAACAGACAGACAAATGGATAGACAGATGTACAGATTTAGACGTAAATTTGAATATATACAAATATATCCCTGTATAAACAAGGGAAAATACGTATACACAACACTATTTGCTCTATAAACTGTGATGTCAAGGAAGCTAAGAGACTGGATAAAGCATTAGTTTAAAGACGAAAGTGTTCTGATCTCCAGGAAGTATGTTGTGTATACTATAATATTCATCGACAGAGACAGCAGTTATTTATTACAAGGCTCAATATTGAAAATTATTAAATTGACTAATAACTGGATAGATATATTGATAAATAAGGATATTTACAATGCTTTTGTATTCTTTTGTTTTCGTTATTTGACCTTTCAGTATCACAATAGATTTATCGCCACCTTAGGCTAACCGGAAGGAACTACTACTAACAACCATGAACTAAAACCAGAGTCACCATTTCCTACAACAATAAACACATAATCAACACAAATTCAGTCGTCATAGATCGCATGTTTTAATCAAAGCAAAGAGGTTTTAACGGGTCTTAGCTACTTAACACGCGGGTCTTCCTTTAACAAGGTCTTTACCCCTCACGCGCTGGTTAAGGTTTAGCCAAAGGGAAAAGCTGTGGTTGGGATTATGGTAATGGTGTACCTTATCGGCCAGAGCTGTCAGAGGCCATTCAGGTGGGGAGAGAGGGAGAAGTGGGGGGAGGGTCTTTATGTCTGTGGGGGGTAGGATAGGGGTGAGGGAAGGGGTTGGGTGTGAATATGACGTGTAATGTGAGTGTTCTTGACACGTTGAGAAAAAGTGACATTTTTTTTGTGTGCTTGCGTGCCAGCGTGTGAATAAATCCTTTTTTTCCCTGTTTCTGATTTAGATTTTGTTCGAATGAAACTTACCTTTTAAAATATATGACAATACATATGTATAACATAAACACATTTGTACGAAAATGATGAGCCATGAAAGCATACATTATTTAGTTGGATTTTTTTTTTTTTTTTTTTTATAGCAAAAGCATCTCCAAATGCCACTAATAACTTCATTTGTCTACTTTCTCCCTCATCTTTCTTCTTTTAGTCACCATCAGAACGCACAAAGGTTTCCGTTAATAAACAACGAAGTTTGAGCGGCAGGCCTTGGATGTTGAATCACTCAGCAGAAGTGTTTCTCCTGTGAAGCGAAAATAGAGGCGCCTTGTTATTGAAGCTCCCGGTGCCCTATGAGAGCGGGGCAGCTCGGAAGGGACGGGCGGGAAAGGCGTCTTCGGGGGTAGCTGTGCCAGCCTTGGATCCTCAGGGAAGGGACCTTCGTGGCTCTATATAACTGTGGCGACGCCTTCCTTTGGCACAGTACAACAGTCAGTCTTCAAGCCATAATGATGGTCAAAGTTTTGGTCTTGGCTTTAGGTGAGATGGTTGATGTTTGGCTTCATTAATATTTTTTTATGCTCTTACAATCATGCAATCGTAATATGCACACACGCATGGTACTTTCATTATATGTGACCATTTTCTCTATTCTTTTTTCAGCCCTTGTGGGAGCCGTCCACGCCGACAAGATGTTCAGCCCGCCCGCTCCTCCCGCCCCAGGATACTCGTACGGCGCCCCGGACCTCAGGGCCGACGCCTCCACTCTCGACCAGCAGGAGCAGGACCCCATCGCCGCCCTGGCCGCCAACATCCCCGGCGGAGGCGTCCCTGGCGACGACTACCCCATCCTGGCCTCCGTCCCCGACACCGGCTTCTCCTGCGAGGAACAGGAATTCCCAGGCTACTATGCTGACACCGCCCCGGAGGCCGGCTGCCAAGTGTTCCACATCTGCCAGTTCGACGGCCGCCAGGACTCCTTCCTGTGCCCCAACGGCACCATCTTCAACCAGCAGTACTTCGTGTGCGACTGGTGGTTCAACGTGGACTGCGCCGCGTCCGTGCAGTTCCGAAGCCTTAACGCTGACATCGGCAAGATCCCCGAAGACGCCGCTTCCTCCGTCCGCAACGACGTCGTGGCACCCAACCAGCTCTATGGCACTCCCGAGGCACCTCCCACTGTCCCTCCCCAACTGTACAACAGTCCCAACAGATTCTAAATCCAGTGTCTTGAGTACGTATCCCCAAGATGAACAAACCAGCAAACACTTCATAAGCAAAATTGTAAATAGCTTATTTATGCTTCTGTAATTCTCGTAATACTCTACAGTTTCCTTTAACTTGTCTGTATCTCACCGTTCTTTATTATGACAATAAAAGTATCACCATATAATCTCCATTTACTCAAAGACACACAACCACTTGCCCAAATATGAAAACTAAGATATGGGAACTGAGACACACAAGTTAATGTATATCTCTTTATAGTCCTGAAAGAAGAAGAAAAAAGAAACAGTTCGAGGAATAAAAATAAGATTAATGAAAAATAATATAAAGGAGAGATAAATCATATCATACACTATTGTTATTCTCTCGGTTTATATTGCAGTGTCTCAGATAATTGCAAATCGTATTGCAGCTTTAGAATACTAATAATGTTTGCTTAGTGACGGGGAAAGCATAAAAGAAATTAAGACATAATGGTAATTTGAACAATCATGTTGACCAAAAAAATAGCTATGATTGTGATTATGATGATGACAGTGATGATGGTGATGATGACTGCGATCATGATAATGAGGGTGATGAAAATGATAATGATAATGATAATAAAAGTGATAATGTTAATGGCAATGGTGATAAATAATTTGCTGCTCATGATTATGAAAAGGGTGATAAAGATAATAATGATAACGGTGATGATGATATTGATAATAACAATGGTAATGATAACGATAATGATGATAATATTTATAATAATAATGAAAATAAAAATGATAATGGTAATGATAATGATGATAATGATAATGATAATAATGATAATGATAATGATAATGATGATAATGATAGTAATAGTAACAAAAATGATAATGGTGATCCTAAAACTGGCAATAATAAAAATTATAATGACTAAAATCTATAGTATATCATATTAAGCGACGTTTAGTCATCATCGTTATTACCTTTATTATCTGCATTAATATCAATAATATAAATGTTCATCTTTATAACCACCATCATAATTAATATCATTATCATCACCATCAACTAGATTTATCATTGTTATTACATTATCACGAGAATGATATATTTTACAATTCCAATTTTATTTTCATCGTACTACTCACATTATGACAGGAATATCATTAACCCGCATAGTATGAAAAGAAAAATTGTAATACTAAAAAAAAAAAAAAAAAAAAAAAAAAGCATTGTTAATTATCACGATAACGATATACGTGTATAATAAAAAGATACTACTCAAAACATTATAATGCAGACAGCAATAATGGCGTTAATAAACAATGAGAAAGTACAAAAGCGAACGTACGATACTACTGAAACAAAAGTAACAATTGTAAATTTGAAACAAACGAGACGAGAGAAGTGCACATATACAGGAGTGAAAATGGATGTTCCCAGCTTGGTTTATACATATGCCGGCAGGGGGTACTCGTGTATTCAGTTGGGGGCGCTGTAATTACTGCTCTTCGGGTTACGCAAACGGCAAAAAACAGCATTCCGACTGAGCTGGTTTAGATTAATATTGCTCTTTTGGTTGTTTTGTTTTGTTTGTCTGTCTGGTTGTTTGGTTTGTGGTTTGCGAAGTTTCAACCGAAAGAAGTAAGAACTAAAACTGATATGTTTCGAATTATGGAAAGTCGTGTTTTCCGATATTTTTCCTTTTTCTTTATTCTTGATTCTCTTATATAATCTTATCTAAAATAAACAAAGATGTTATTTTTGCTAATTGGGTTAGACAGAACTACTTGCGATACTTATCCCTGAAAACTTAATTAATATTTATTGTTATTACATCTTCACTAAGATTAACTCAGTATCCAAGAAGGAAATACTATTTACCATAATAAACCACATAAATATGCCTCTTTTACGTATCAAATTATCGGATAATAATAGTTTAGAGAACAACTATTCAAGGGTCAGTTTAGCAGTTTAATGACTTATTGATTTATACCAGTGATTAAGGATTGCATAATAAAAACCCTATAGACGTTATACATGTCTTGATTAAATCTGAATTAAAAAAAAAAAAGAAGTTTAAGTTTACGACAAAGAACATCCACGAAGGGAAACCTCACCATGAAATGTCAAGCAAGATATTATCATCAACTGTTGCACCATTTCATGCAACTTGACACAATGCAACGCGACGGAACAAAAAGAGCCGTGAATATTGAGCAACTCCGCCTCTCTGCCTTGCTATTCAGTCCCAGTCAGTTATCAAACAAGGATTAATTCAAGCTCTATCAATGGTATAGGTTTCAAGGCCTTTTATGAAAGGAGAAGAGGAAGAATGAGAAAAGAGAATGTTGGTTACATAGGAAAATGGGATTATCTTGCGCAAAGGTTTTGTTGTAGGGCGGATAAAAGGGAAAAAAATGAAAGAGAACATGAAGAAAAGGAAGAAGAAAATAAGAATAAGACGAAGAGGAGACAGAAGATTATGAAACAAAAAGAAACAAATAATCAAGAAGATTCAGAAGACGAAAGAGGATAAAAAATAATTAAGAAGATCAAAAAGTAAAAAGAAGAAAAACAATAATAAGCAACAAAGCGAAGAAAGAACAGAGAAACAGCAAAAAAAAAAAAAAAAAAAAAAAATGTCGACTCCACACACAAAAGGTCGAAACTATCCCTTGGGCGAAAAAAAGCTGACTCACGGAGTACATTTCGTCTGCTCTGATGTCATTATGCATTCTGTTCACCTCAAGATTCAGGTGCACTTGGCCAGGTGATTTAGGTTGGCCAAACATCTCCTTGTGTCGCCTCTTTTCTTTTCCCTCTCTCTCTTTTCACTCTTTCGTTATTTGTTCTCTTTCTTCCTTTCGTATTTGTTGCCCTTATTTGGAAGTTTGGTTTTTGAGGTGTGGGATGAAAGCAAGGGAAACTGAGAAGAGGGAAGGGAGGAAGAAGAAAAAGGAAATATGCAAATAAGTGGATGCAGACAGAGATAGGGAGATGAAAAGGAGAAAGATAGAAAGGGAGAAAGGGAGGGAATGAGAGACAAAAATCATTGCAGATCAATTGAAAGGTAAGGTGAGAACGAGAGATCCTGAGTTACACCAAAATATTAAGAATATAATACTATCTCGATCTCTCCGCTGACACTCGTTCCTTCCGTTCCTCTCTCTCTCTCTCTTTCTTAATCTCTCTCACTTTCTCTCTCTCTCTCTCTCTCTCTTTCTCAATCTCTCTCACTTTCTCTCTCTCTCTCTCTCTCTCTCTTTCTCAATCTCTCTCACTTTCTCTCACTCTCTCTCTCTCTCTGTTCCTCTCCCTCTCTCTCTCTCTCTGTTCCTCTCCCTCTCTCTCTCTCTTCCTCTCTCTCTCTCTCTCTTTTTCTCTCTTCCTCTCCCTCTCTCTCTCTTTCTTTCATTTTCCCTTCCTCTCTCTCTCTCTTTTTCTCTTCCTCTCTCTCTCTCTCTCTCTTTCCATGTCTCTCTCTCACTCTCTTCTCTCTCACACACACTCTTCCTCTCTTACTCTCCATCTTTACCTCTCTCTCTCTCTCTCTCTTTTTCTCTCTTCCTCTCCCTCTCTCTCTCTTTCTTTCATTTTCTCTTCCTCTCTCTCTCTTTTTCTCTTCCTCTCTCTCTCTCTCACTCTTTTCTCTATGTACACACACACACACTCTCTCTCTCTTTCCATGTCTCTCTCTCTCTTCTCTATGCACACACACACACTCTCTCTCTATCTCACACACACTCTTCCTCTCTTACTCTCCATCTTTACCTCTCTCTCTCTTTCTCTCACACTCTTCCTCTCTCTCTCCCGCCCCCCTCTCTCTCTTTCCATGTCTCTCTCTTTTATCTCCCTCTCTCTCTCTTTCCATGTCTCTCTCTCTCTCACTCTCTTTTCATATACTTACATACATACATACATACGTACATATATATATATATATATATATATATATATATATATATATATATATATATAAAGAAATTTATCTGTCTCTCCCTTGCTCCCTGTCTCTCTGTCTGCCATTTATCTTTATCTTTGTCTTCTTACATTTCTAGCTGCCACTCAGTCTTACTTCACTTTATCTTTCTCTCTCCATCTATCTCTATCTATCTTTCTCAGGCTTTTATTTATTTTTTCCTCTCCAATCTTTTTCCATTTTTTCCCGTCTCGTTCCCCAGACCTGTCTTACAGGCTGTCTATGCGCAGATTCTTAGTTCTTGCTGTAGGTTCACCTTTTATAAAGTGGATGAAATGACAACCATAAATAACTGATGCTTAACTTCATATTTCAAGAATAAATGTACAATGTCAGCTGTAACAGAAATCTTTCTACAGCTGCAGAAGAAATAAATATCAATTTTTAACGAGTGTGTGCGATGAAAGTCTTATAGTGCTGTGCTATATCCAATGTAAACTCCTTAGAATCTGTTAGGGCTGTTGTACAGTTGGGAGGGGACTGTGGGAGGTTCCTCGGGAGTGCCATAGAGCTGATTCGGTGCCACGACGTCGTTGCGGACGGAGGAAGCAGCGTCTTCGGGGATCTTGCCGATGTCAGCGTTGAGGCTTCGGAATTGCACGGACGCGGCGCAGTCCACGTTGAACCACCAGTCGCACACGAAGTACTGCTGGTTGAAGATGGTGCCGTTGGGGCACAGGAAGGAGTCCTGGCGGCCGTCGAACTGGCAGATGTGGAACACTTGGCAGCCGGCCTCCGGGGCGGTGTCAGCATAGTAGCCTGGGAATTCCTGTTCCTCGCAGGAGAAGCCGGTGTCGGGGACGGAGGCCAGGATGGGGTAGTCGTCGCCAGGGACGCCTCCGCCGGGGATGTTGGCGGCCAGGGCGGCGATGGGGTCCTGCTCCTGCTGGTCGAGAGTGGAGGCGTCGGCCCTGAGGTCCGGGGCGCCGTACGAGTATCCTGGGGCGGGAGGAGCGGGCGGGCTGAACATCTTGTCGGCGTGGACGGCTCCCACAAGGGCTGAAAAAAGAATAGAGAAAATGGTCACATATAATGAAAGTACCATGCGTGTGTGCATATTACGATTGCATGATTGTAAGAGCATAAAAAAATATTAATGAAGCCAAACATCAACCATCTCACCTAAAGCCAAGACCAAAACTTTGACCATCATTATGGCTTGAAGTAGACTGAACGTTGCACTGTGCCAAAGGAAGGCGTCGCCACAGTTATATAGCGCCACGAAGGTCCCTTCCCTGAGGATCCAAGGCTGGCACAGCTTCCCCCGAAGACGCCTTTCCCGCCCGTCCCTCCCGAGCTGCCCCGCTCTCCTAGGGCACCGGGAGCTTCAATAACAAGGCGCCTCTGTTTTCGCTTCACAGGAGAAACACTTCTGCTGAGTGATTCAACACCCACCGCTCGCTACGCAAACGCCGTTGTGTATTAACGGAAACCTTTGTTTAATTAACAGTGTTTAATGTGACTCTAAAAGGAAAAGAAGGTTAAAGTTGTAGTCAGTATAAGGAAATGTTTTGTTAGATGAGTCTGTTCTTTTCGGGATATCGGTAAGAATGCTATCTTGGCGCTGTATATATTTCAAGATTTTTGTTTATTTGTTTTTAGAACCTTTTCATCAGTGCTGGAAAATTTATATACATATATGTATATGTTATATATATATATATATATATATATATATATATATATATATGTGTGTGTGTGTGTGTGTGTGTGTGTGTGTGTGTGTATGTGACGCAATATATTGTCATGTATAAGTAGTTACTATGAAATTATATTGTATTCTTGAACATTGATATCCATGAAGTCACCATGAAAAAAAAAAAAAAAATCTATTTGTTTCCTTACTCATGTAAAAAAAAGCATAACCCGGAGATCAAACCAACCGATTTCTACCCACAACCCCCTCAGCCTACGCACACCTCCCCTCCTCACTTTCCACTTGAATAGGCTCACACTTCTTACTGATAAGGAGTTCCTTTCCCCTGAGGGCCAGATCGCAGCAGCCCATCTCCATAGCTAGACTGTGTGAGGGATTTAGACCTTGTTAAAGAAGTAAGACTCGGTAATTACCCTGAAGAAAATTAACTACTTTGACCGGTACATGTTAGATATATTAGCCTGTTTATTGTCTCGACTTATTTCTCGAATTGAGGTCCTGCGTTTATCATTTTTATTTCACAATCAGCGATATTAGTTTGCTCAGCGCCGGTGTGGTACAGATCGGTGACCTGGTTCAGATCCTCCCCACGGCCCGAGCTTAGGAAGGACATCCACTCGGGGCAACGGACGCTTATTACCAAATCCGAAAAAAGTCCTTCAAGAAAAAGAATCATCCGTAGCCTCTTAGCAAGGGAGTTTGTGACTCAAAAGCGACTTTTGTTTTGGAACTTTTGGAGGGGAAACAGCGAACAGGAAAGAAGACGAAAGTGTTGCATTCTCTCCCTATCTATCTCTCCAACCTTTCTTTTCTCTCCACTCCTTCTCCTCTCTCTCCTTTCTTTCTCACTCTCTGCTTCTCCCTCTCCCCCCTCTCTCTCTGTCTGTCTCCACTCTCTCTCTCTCTCTGATTTTCGCTCCTTCTCTCTCTGCCTCCCCCCCTCTCTTTATCTATATATCTCTACATCAAGCTTCTCTCTCTCTCTCTGCCACCCCCCTCTTAACTATCTTCTCTCTCTCTCTTTCTCCCTCTCTTTCTCACTCGCCCCCCTTCTATCTCTTTTTTCTCTCTCCCTCAGTCCCTCTCTCTCTCTCTCTGCCACACCCTCTCTCTTTCTATATATCTATTTTTTATCTCTCTTTCTGCCTTCCCCTCTCTCTCTATCTGTCTTTTTATCTTTTTTTTTCTCTCTGTCTCTCTATAAAGAAAGATCCTTTTCTAGATATACGAATGTCTAATGAATTTAGACATTCGTGTATTTTATTTTTTCGATTTATAAGTAATTTCTTATTCTGGCCGATACTTTATGCAGTCTTGTTGGTACTTTACACAACTTACAGCCTGGGGAGTAAACAGAGAAAAATATGTGAGGTGAATACTCTGTGTGCAGTCCTAGTTGATTGTGGGTATTTCCAAGTTGTGTATGTTTATCACTGCTTGTTTATCTGTCCATCTGGCTATCTGTGTATCTGCCTGTCTGCCTGGCTGTCTATAGCTGTTTATCTATTTTAGGAGGAAAGGAAGGAGGGAAAAGGAAACGGAATGAGAGAGAGAGAGAGAGGAGGGGAGGGAAAGAGATAGCCGTAATATATATATATGTGTGTGTGTGTGTATATAATATCTTTTAGTTAAGTGTACATCTCATAAGAAAAATGTTTCCCTTTCTCTTTTACGGTGCAATATTACCCCTGGATCCCTTTTATATATTTATCTATCCTTCATGCCTGCCCTGTCATTGTATTTCTTGTGGAATAAACACGCAAACAGGCAAATGCACGCACTTGTACATATATTAAAGTGTGTGTTTTTTATGTATTTTTCACAGGCATTTTTGCGCGAGGGAAGCGGACATAATCCTGTCCATTTAGCAAAGTAATCAGTTTCACTTGAAAAAAGGGTTTTATTTACCTGCTTAGACCGAGAAAACTTATTGCTTCCTTATGTGTTGTTCCTGTGGCTTTGCTGTAGCGACAACCAACGTATTATTTGTTGTACTAATACGATACTGGCCTAAAAAGGAGACTGTTTAAATTGCTAAGACAGATGAGTAGATTGATAAGGAGAATGAGAGAGAGAGAGAGAGAGGGAAGGAAGGATGGAGAGAGAACCGACGGTAATTTTCTTCGCTCTAGGTTTGGCACCACGTACCATGAATAGATAATTATTTTGCGGATGGTAGCTTTATTTACAGAGCATAAATTTATCACACGAAGCATAATGAGCTATATGAGGAATATTTACAAACATGTGCCTGCATCTTATTCTTGCCATAATTTAGAACCTATTGGGACTTCCATAAGACTGAGAAGGAGTTGGAGGAGTTGCCTGGCGCTCCTCGGGAGTGCCATAGAGCTGGTTGGGTGCCACGACGTCGTTGCGGATGGAGGCAGCGGCGTCTTCGGGGATCTTGCCGATGTCAGCGTTGAGGCTTCGGAACTGCTCGGACGCGGCGCAGTCCACGTTGAACCACCAGTCGCACACGAAGTACTGCTGGTTGAAGATGGTGCCGTTGGGGCACAGGAAGGAGTCCTGGCGGCCGTCGAACTGGCAGATGTGGAACACTTGGCAGCCGGCCTCCGGGGCGGTGTCAGCATAGTAGCCTGGGAAGTCCTGTTCCTCGCAGGAGAAGCCGGTGTCGGGGACGGAGGCCAGGATGGGGTAGTCCTCGCCAGGGACGCCTCCGCCGGGGATGTTGGCGGCCAGGGCGGCGATGGGGTCCTGCTCCTGCTGATCGAGAGTGGAGGCGTCGGCCCTGAGGTCCGGGGCGCCGTACGAGTATCCTGGGGCGGGAGGAGCGGGCGGGCTGAACATCTTGTCGGCGTGGACGGCTCCCAGAAGAGCTGAAAGGGATAGTTTGCTGTTAGTATAAATACAAAAATGTAATAAAAAGGCTGAAATAGTCACGAGGGATCCATGAGAACGAAGCGCATGAGGAGCGCCCTTCCCCGCGCCCCTCCGCTCTCCAGACGAGGCCCAGCGAGGACCGCCTTACCTAAGGCCAGCAGCAGCGGAGACATCGCGAGCGGCAGTGTTGCGTCGAACAGAGAGGAACGGAAGCCCGAGGTGGCACTGTGCCCAGGGAGGCGCCGGCGTGTCTTTATAGCGCCTCGGACACCTTTCTCTCGCAGGACCAAGGCTGACCCCGATGACCCAAGGAGAGAGCACGGAGGCGACCTAGGATACGCCGCCATCTCGCCTTCCACAATGTTTCGTGTGCGCGAGTGAGCGAAGGAGGAGGAACAGCTCTGGGAAGAAGCTCTTGCGGCGCTCTTGCTTGTAATTGCGCATGCCTCTCTCTGTCCGTCGGTGCGTGCTTGCCTGAATATGCATGAAGTCATGGCCTTTTATACAAAATAAAAAAATAGTAGTTTGTTTTATAGATGTGTTCCGAATGCCCGGGCGCTTAATTCATTTATATAGTCATTCATTTATTCACTTATATTTTTTCGGGCTGCAACAAATTTCATGCAGCTGGTATTCCTGTGAGAAAAAGGAAAGGCGAGCACTTCTTCGGTGTAGAAGTTACAGTTATTCTGAAATATATCTAGCGACGTCAACTATTTAGGAAATTACAAAGAGAAAATTGGCAATAACGGTTATAAAATCTAGAGGGATAAGGGTATCTCCATTTTGATATTGGTGAAAAATAAAGAAGAACAAAGTGCTTGGTGATGTTTATTATAATGAGCTTGATATTAAGGTGCATAATGATGATAAAGACAATGATATTGAGACCATTAACACCTCTGATGATATTATTCAATATAATAGTGATAATAATACTATTTACTTATAAATGATAATATTGGGAATAATGATAATGATATGAATCACTGGCTCTATCCTATAGTATCTAATTTTTCGAAGTTATCTATCTGTACCTATCTATCTATTTGCATATACGACTATGTTTTATGTATCTGTCAATCTATTTGTCTCTGTTTATCTATCTATCTATCTAATCTATCTATCTACATATATACAGTTATACAAACGTGTACAAGTCTGTAAATCTGATGTGAATTGTTGATATTATTTTATCTGACCTTTTGGCGTGCCCTTTCTGTATCGACAACGATAAATTTTAGTCAGAACCCACAAAAGGTAAGTGATATAAACAAAAGCTACAAACAAAAGCAACAAAGAAAGAGAGTTCTAATAATAAACAATAATAGCTGTATCACTGCTACCAACAATAACAATGAAATAAGTAATTATTGTTGATTCTTTCATAATTATAATGATGTTGCTTTGGTTAGTTCAGCTTGCAAGTAGAGGTATTGCTCATAAAGAGTAACGTGAATAGAGAGTTCAGATCAACTTTTGCCCAAATTTAGTTGTCGCATCACTATTATATCCGTAATGATGATGATGGTTATGGTTATGATGAAGTTGGTGATGGTGATGATGATGAAGTTGGTGATGATGATGATGATGAAGTTGGTGATGATGATGATGATGAAGTTGGTGATGATGATGAAAGTGATGATGAAGTTGGTGATAGTAATGATGGTAGTGATGATGACGGTGATAGTGATGATTAATGTAGATAAATAAAAAATCGAAATGCATTTACAAAGTCCGATCAAATGAAAAGCCAGCATTCATGTCTGATCTCCAATTTTAACCATGTATCAAGCTTCTATTGAAGAGAGAGAGAGAGAGAGAGAAAGAGAGAGAGTGTGTGAGAGAGAGAAAGAGAGAGAGAAAGCGGTAACAATCTTATTTTACGCAACTAATCTTTATACGACTGTTTTCCAAAGACAAGTACTACACTACTCTGCATCATACCAGGACATAAACCAAATCACTATGCTTCCTACACACACACACACACATAAATACACATCAAGAGCATAATCGGATATTCACAATTCAGGAGAAATAATACAGTAGTATATCAACTTTATTTTGTTCATAATATTATCGATCATGAATAGCATAAAATTGCTGACACAATGACTAAATTAACAATAAATCAACAAAATCCTTTAGCACTTAATCCGTTTTTCCTATTTGTTACTATTCTGACTTTTATCTCGTTTCTCCTGTCTTCTCCTTCCACGAGTTGGGCCACACACGTAACTTTCACTTATGTCACTCACAGTGCACAAAAAATAGTGAAAAGGCAGTGAGGAAAAAGAAATCACGTCTGAGACATGTTTAATACTAACTCTCAGTGGCAACAAAAACAATAGTCGTGGGTAGTCGGCCCTGATTGGTTGACTCAATTTGTGGGGGGACCACTTAGACCAACTGGCGAGTTCAGTCACAGATAAGTAAATAAATCGACAGATAGAAAGACAGGCCGACAGACAGACAGACAGAAAGACAAACAGACAGATAGACAGACAGACAGACCGATAGACAGACAGAAAGGAAGACAAACAGAACGATAGACAGACAGATTAATAAATAAATATATATAGATATAGATATAGATACAGGTGTATAGATGTAAATATAGATATAGAAATAGACAAAGATATAGATATAAATAAAGATGCATAGATGTAAATATAGACTTGGATACAGATCGATAGATAAATAAATAGAAATACTGATAGATATAGGCAGATAGGTAGACTGATAGACATTCAAGTATTGAGGCAGATAGCTCATATCACACAGACACGTGATCAGCGGCGTCCCCATTTACGAAATGAATTTACCTTTACGCCTGAGTGCATTTTTTTCCCACCTGCTTCACGAATTACTGAGGTTCGAAGCAAAATAAACACAGGATACACACCCAAAAGGAAAATATAAAACTCGCTAGAAAAATGAGAATAATTTAAACTTCCACTGCCAAAAGATGGTAAACAATGTTGACTAAAATAGGTACGCGAAACAAACAGAAAGAAACTTTATTCATGTAACTTCTTTGGTGTGGTATTGTACACGGGATTCACGGGACAAAGAAAATAGATTACGACTTTAATTTTGTAGATTATCATGACTTAAGTTTCATTTTGTGACACAGAAACGAGAATAAATCTTTGTAACTTATTTGTTAGACACTACATATCGGGATCGTGTGTTACAGATAAATCTCATATATTTTTTAACAGGGAGTCAGTTAAATCTTCTATTTGACTTTGGAATCTTGTGACACCCTTAGGTACTGTTTATGACTCTCGTTATATACACATCGATGTAAATGTATATTTTGTTCCGTTGTGGAACAATTAATAACTACAGTATTCTATTAATTCTATTGTCTGTTATTATCGTGGTAAACGAAATGATAATTAGAAGAACAAGAATAGTGATAGTAATAAGACAGTCATGATGAGAATGATTTCTGTTTAGATATAATATTAAAATTATTAATAAAGTAACATCACAACCAGCTAGAAAGACGGAGCAAGGATAGCATGTACAACTAATATTGATTATAACAATAACAATACCAATTAAAACTATCGATCTGCATACAGAAGATTACTGATTTGATTTTGTTATTGATCGTTAATACAGTGTTCTCTGACTGGCATAAACAATAGAACAATTACCCCGTCTTAGCGAGCACAAAGACATGACTATGAAATCAGTTTCAGTTGTCCATCTTAGGGATACAGTGCCTCTTAATGATAATCAAAGTGAGTTTCTCGTCTTACCTAATTTCTTTTTCAGCGTATTATCTATTTATTTTTCTCATCAACATCTTTTTTTCTTTTTCTGTTTTCTATTATGCTTTTTTATTTTTTTTTTACTTTCCTTCGATTTGTGGAAAATTTGACTATTCGCTCATTTGATTTTTCCCTAATCATAAAAGCAAAACAGAACAAGGACACGCTGGTGCTTATTCACACGCGTCCGGTTAACGGCCGGGCCTTCCACTCAGCCTTCCTTCATCTCACGCGCCGCCAGCGTTGCCAGAAATGGCCAACCCTAAGAGGAGTAGGGGAAGGGAGGCAGGTCGCCCGCCACGGCTTACGGCGGCCGCGTGGTCGTGGAGCGAGGCTCGGGTCCCTCTCTCGGCCCAATCAGCCTCTCCTCCGAGTCGTCTGAAGTTGGGTTCCAGCCATATTGACAGCAGAGGGAATGAGTCTTCCGACAGACTCATTGGTTGAGTGGATCCCCCCCCAATCCCATTGTCTCTCAGCCAAGTTGAAAATTCTTGAGGTTTAGAGCTATAGCTCTAAAGCGGGAGGAGCCATGTCTTCGCGGATGGTTCCCAGGAGAACTAAAAAGAATAGTATGATAAGGTAACGAAACATGAAGACTAAAATTAATCATCAGCATATCCAACTTTCTTACACATGCCAGTGACTGTCTTACAGCTTTTAGCATTACATTTACAATCTATATATATATATATATATATATATATATATATATATATATATATATATATATATATATATATATATATATATATATATATATATATATATATATATATATATATATATATATATATATATATATATATATATATATATATATATATATATATATATATATATATATATATATATATATATATATATATATATATATATATATATATATATATATATATATATATATATATATATATATATATATATATATATATATATATATATATATATATATATATATATATATATATATATATATATATATATATATATATATATATATATATATATATATATATATATATATATATATATATATATATATATATATATATATATATATATATATATATATATATATATATATATATATATATATATATATATATATATATATATATATATATATATATATATATATATATATATATATATATATATATATATATATATATATATATATATATATATATATATATATATATATATATATATATATATATATATATATATATATATATATATATATATATATATATATATATATATATATATATATATATATATATATATATATATATATATATATATATATATATATATATATATATATATATATATATATATATATATATATATATATATATATATATATATATATATATATATATATATATATGTATGTATATATATCCAATTTATAGTTGTCTGTATCTATATTTACATCTAATTACACACATCTATACATATATATGTGAATACACACATACGTATATAATGTGTGTATACACACAGATATATATATATATATATATATATATATATATATATATATATATATATATATATATATATATATATATATATATATATATATATATATATATATATATATATATATATATATATATATATATATATATATATATATATATATATATATATATATATATATATATAACTTTGTACATGGAACATGCATATATATATATCTATATATATCTATATCTATCTATCTATCTATCTATCTATCTATCTATATATGTATATATATATATATATATATATATATGTATGTATATATGTATGTATATATGTATGTATGTATATATATCCAATTTATAGTTGTCTGTATCTATATTTACATCTAATTACACACATCTATACATATATATGTGAATACACACATACGTATATAATGTGTGTATACACACAGATATATATATACACACATATATATGTTAAGGATTATGACAATTGTAACAATAATGATAGTGATAGTAGTAATGATAATGAAATATAATGTTGGAAATGTAATAAAAACAACAAATGCTATAATGAAATATAAGTAATAAAAATATAATAACCATAATGAGAATAGTACTGTTAAGATTAATATCAATGATGGCGAATAATGGATAATGTAAATAAGAACATTAACAACAATAAGGATAACAATTACGATATTACTGATGAAGATAGTTTCATAACAGTGTAGTTATACCGATGAAAACAACTACTGTAAATTCCGTTGCCAATGTGTAATAATAATGGTAAAATGGTGATAATGATAATGGCAATGATACCAAATATAAAAATAATGATAAAAAAATATAATGATAATGACAATGATGAGAAAATCAGAGAAGCATTAGTAGAAATAATTAGGGTAAGGATGGCAACCTTTATTATAAGATAATTAAACAGAATGATAATTAGATAATAAAGCAATTAAATAAATATGATAATAAAATCCTCAATAACTGTTAAAAATAATCACACATTAACGGTGTTGGACCTGAAATTGTTTATCGTTTATTTCATCCACTTACGGATTAATATCTTTACTTATCACCTGATCCATCTATCCATTTATTCATTCATTTTAGCCATCCGTAACCCTCTCTCAATAAGAACCATAACCTCCTAGTGCTGTCCTCTGAAACAACACACTATCTACTGTACTGATTTTTTTCCGAAGCCAAGAGACAAGATTTATTAAAAGGATTTCTTGTCAGATTTCATTCAGAAAGGATGATAGTACGGTCGGTGGTTAACATGGTAGTAATATAACAAATGTAACGATGATAATAATTATAATGATGGTAATAATGATACAAATGATGCTAATGCTAATAATAATGCTAGTATTAATACTAATACTGATACTAGTACTAATACTAATGATAATGATATTAATGATAATAATAAGCATGGTGAAAATGATAACAATGACAATATAAACAATAATAATAATGATAATAACAGCAATAATAATAACACTATAATGATGATAATGCCAATAATGATTATATATTTTTTCACAACTATAGATATAATTAAGAAATAATAATAATAATGATAATAATAATAATAATGATAATAATGATAATAATCATAACAATAATAATAGCAATAATGAATAATAATAAAAATGATTATTGTTATGATAGTAATAATAATAATAAAAAAAATATTTATCATAATAATGATAATTATCATGAAAATAATGATGATAACAATCATAACAATAATAATAGTAATCATAATCGCAGCAATGATGATAATATTAGTTATAGTAATGATGAAATAATAATAATGATAATGATAACATCATAAATTATTGAGAATAATAACGATTCAATTGATACTAATAATGATAATGATAATATTAATAATGATAACAATGACAGTAATAATAATGATAATAACATCATTAATAATAATGATGATAACCATAATACCAACTAAAGTCTTGAAACGACGATAACAAAATTGATCACAACTGGTAATACTAGTGAAATTGATTGTATATCGTATTTAGATTTAACAGTAATATTTTACGTAAACTTGAATATTCAGATGACGAATAAAAATAGAAAATCATGTCTCGGATAATTTTTATTCATAAATAAACAGTTCGTTGTAAAAAAACACGAAGCCATACACTATGCTTGCATTTTTTCTCACGAGCATGTGCGCAAAGTGCACTCATGATCCTAAGCGGCTATTTACAAAGGGACGAATATGGACGTGCAACGCACATCATCCAGTGTTGAGAAGCGGTGAAATCCGGAGAGGGGACACGGAATGATTTAGAACCTATTGGGTCTTCCATACGACTGAGAGGGAGTTGGAGGAGGTGCCTGGCGCGCCGCGGGAGTGCCATATAGCTGGATTGGGTGCCACGACGTCGTTCGCGGACGGAGGCAGCGGCGTCTTCGGGGATCTTGCCGATGTCAGCGTTGAGGCTTCGGAACTGCTCGGACGCGGCGCAGTCCACGTTGAACCACCAGTCGCACACGAAGTACTGCTGGTTGAAGATGGTGCCGTTGGGGCACAGGAAGGAGTCCTGGCGGCCGTCGAACTGGCATATGTGGAACACTTGGCAGCCGGCCTCCGGGGCGGTGTCAGCATAGTAGCCTGGGAATTCCTGGTCCTCGCAGGAGAAGCCGGTGTCGGGGACGGAGGCCAGGATGGGGTAGTCCTCGCCAGGGACGCCTCCGCCGGGGATGTTGGCGGCCAGGGCGGCGATGGGGTCCTGCTCCTGCTGGTCGAGAGTGGAGGCGTCGGCCCTGAGGTCCGGGGCGCCGTACGAGTATCCTGGGGCGGGAGGAGCGGGCGGGCTGAACATCTTGTCAGCGTGGACGGCTCCCACAAGGGCTGTAAGATTATACTAGTACATTTATTGAAGGAATGGAAAAGAAAACAAATCTCGTCAGCAGAGAAGCAGAGACTAAAATGTAACAAAGCAGCTAATCTAAACCAAAAGATCAGCCAACAGTAAAGAGATAGCATCCCCGAAGCGCCGGTCAACACCTTCCGCGCATCTCCCTCCCAACTCACCGAGCGCCAGCATCAGCGAGAACCGGGGCATCATGGCGGTCGGAGCGAAGGCGAGGGAGGGACGTCGAGGTGCCAAAGGTTGCACTGTGCCAAGGGAAGGCGTCGCCACGGCTATATAGCGCCCCGGAGGACCTTTCTCTGGCGGAACCAAGGCTGGAGCGAGAACAGAGGATGAATCTAGGATAGCGGTCGCCAGTACTCACGTTTTCGCTCATGATTGTTCAACAAATGCGACTGATACGCAATGCTGAACTGGTAGCCTCTTTTTCAAATTCTCCAAACGACTGTCTGTCAACGCATGAAAATACAACTGAACAAATATTTTACTAGTTTGATCGTTTGACTAGATGAAGACACCATTTTGATAATGATTTTGAAAATGTAACACACATGTGGCAAAATCCTGTGAAACCACTGAATACTGTGACTACCTTTAAGCATCAAATTTAAAAAGAAAGAGTTATGCTATAACAATATTAGTTGTAATAATAATAAGTTATGATAAAACTAATAATGATAGAAATAACAATAGTGATAATAATGATATTATTAGTAACAATAACAGTAAGGATGATAATGATAATGATGATCGTATTACTACTACAACTACAACTACAATAATGATAACAACAGGGAAAATGACAAAAATGCAAGGAAAAGATCGGCCATAAGCGAATCTTCTTTCCTTCAAAAACGAACCTGTTACAGTTTTTGCTTCTAGTAACGTAAAAACATGTATTACTCTGCTCTTAAATTTTGCTTGCCTGTGTGTAAATGTTTACTTTGGTGAGTCGCTGCTTGGTGAGAGCAACTGGGCGAAGGCACATGGGTGCGGGGCCCGTGTGCGCTGCTGTATTTTCTTGTGTATTTGTGCGTGGTAGTGTGTGTGATTGTGTTTGTGTGCTTGTGTTTCTGCGTGTGTGTGTTTGTGTGATTGCGCGCGCGCGCGCGCGCGTGTGTGTATGTGTGTGTTTGTGTGATTGTGGTTGTGTATGTGTGTGCGTGTGTATGTGTGTGTCTGTGTATGTGTATGTGTCTCTGTGTGTAAATATGTATGCATATGCACGCCAGGATGTCTACGTGGCTGTGTGAAATTAATTCATTCCTTTGCGCTCTATTTAAAACATAAATTCATTACGGATATGAAGCCGATCATCTGCTCCCTTTCTTCATTTCCTTCCACATGTTTGCTCAGACTTACCGAAGCGAAAGGTTTGTGTGTGCAGCAAGGGACGTAACACAGCCGAGAATTTATGATTTCCTTTGATAACAATAATCGGTAATACATATACTCGCCAGCTTTTCCCGGATACTCTCTCTTCCTATATATACACACACACACATACATACACACACACAGACACACATATACACACACACGCAAACCAACCCCCCACCCCACACACACACACACATATATATATATGTGTGTGTATATATATATATATATATATATATATATATATATATATATATATATATATAAAGATATAAAACATCATCATTGATGTTTATATATATATACCGATTACGCAAGTGTATCACCCTAGAAACCACGAGATATTCAAAAGATAACGCAATTAATACAACTAACTTCTAGAACTAGAAACGTTTTCCATTTGAATGATATATCTGAACAGTCCTAATTTTCATAACGTTTGGGAAAAGAAGATGAAGAAAAGAAAAAGAAAAGAAAGGAAAAGAAAAAGAAAAGAAAAAGAAAAGAAAAAGAAAAGAAAAGAAGAAAAAAAAAATGAAAAGAAGAGAAAAAAAATGAAAAGAAAGAAAAAAGAAAAGGAGAAGCAAAAGAAAAAGAATATGAAAAAGACAAAGATAAAGACAAAGAAAAATAAAAAGAAAAAAAAAGAGAAGAAAAAAGGAAAGTAAAAGTAAAAGGAAGTGGAAAAGGGAAAGGGAAAGGAAAAAGAAAGAAAAAGAGAAAGAAAAAGAAAAAAAAGAAAAGAAAAAAGAAAAAGAAAAAGGAAAATAGTAAGAAAAATAAAATAAAATAAAATAAAAGAAAAGAAAACAACAGAAAAACATACAGAAAAACCGAGAAAAGCAAACAAACAAAAAAGAAAAAAGAGAGAAAAAGAAAATAAAGAGAAAAATAAAAATAAATGAAAAGAAAAAATAGAGAAAAAGACATAAAACATAAAAACAAAACAGGAGAGGGAACCCCCCCCCCCCCCCCCCCCCCCCGCGGTGATGCCTAACAAGGGGAGCGTCGGAGGAGATTGATC